ACTCTAAAATGCTTTTAAGAATGTGAAAATTTGAATCCAAGCACTCATTGTTACAAAAGCTATGGTCTGACTTGATCATTGAGTTATTTAAGTAATTTGATAATTTCTTTTCATTTTAATATTTGAATGTATATAATAAATAATATAAAAGGTAATATTTATAAAATTTAAATTATAATATGATAAGTTTTGAACCATATGCTAATATATTATAATAATCTACATATTAAGTTACTCAATTTAATCAATAAACATAATATAAGTTAAATTATATATTATCATTATTGAAAATCAACTTTTAAAAGGACATGTTTCATTTTTTTAAGAGGGAGAGTAGACAAAAAACAGGTTCCATGAGTAGACCCTGGAACTGCTAAACCTAGAACCAACCCTAGAACTGATCTTCATAGGTATCAGTTCCAAAAAATTGGAACCAACTCCAACAGGATAAGCTTCAGGTTCTGCCATAGAACCAAACCAAACCGACTCATACCCAAATAGATACAAAATATACGGATAGGCTTGGATTGGGACGGACCAGGCTCAGTTTAGACTCTGGTAAGATAATGTAGGGTAAGTCTATCTCAAGTCAAGGTCAAGCCCAACTTTTTAGCCCTGGGCTCAACACAAAGCCCAAAAGTCCAACCAAGCCATACAAATATACAATAGCGCAGGTCGAATCTGGCCAAGTTGGCATCAAGACAAAAGTTTTCATTGGGCCAACAACAACAAGCCAAGACTTGCAAACTTCTAAGGGTTAAATGAAGATGATGTAAAGTTTTAATGCGGTTAAGGGTTAAGCGAAGATGATGTAAATTGATGTCGGTTCCACAAGAAAATTTTCAGCTTGGATGTGCCTAAAAAGCACAAGATTGCTTATAAACAACGAAATAGAAAACAGCTGAAATGACAAAACATAGTCTCAAGTGGACATGATGTCATCCCTATCACCCCCGAAATCAGGATTTCTGTATCCTTAATTCCTTAAAATATCCCCATATAAAGTGCGAACCCGGGAATCCAGGATTACTCAGGAAAATGCTGACAAGTGACAAGACCTTACTACATCACTAATAATCTACTTTTGTACAAGCATAGTTAGTTAGATACAATACAAATTGGGATATCTTAAAGGGTTTCTCTTTTTGGTTTTTAATATTTTAGACCTTTTGAAAATCAGTGTCAAGAAATCTCCATTGGCTCAAACAAAGCAATTCTGAATGCGTCACCCATAACTCTTATTTCAAACTAAGGACTAAACCATGATTCAGGTACTATTGTTGTTCCTATCTGAAACGTTTTGGGTCAATCAATGGTTCAACACAAATTAGCATATAATTGTTATTTGGGGCTGTTTATAGCTGAAACAGGTACACCTTGAAGATGAATGTGCTCAAGACTGTTTGTAAAAATGTCAAAATGATGTTTCTTGCTCAACTGGATCTTTAATTTTTATGACTCCCCCTCAGGTTGATTGGTTGAAAATTAATGTAGATGAAGCTTTTCTGAGGAAGGAGTAATATAGCATCTTTTGGCTTAGTAATTAGGGATCATGCTGGTCTTTTTGTGGAGGCCAAGTGTGGCAAAGCTTCAGCTGCCTCAGTTCTTCAAATGGAGGTATCAGCTGTTCTGGATGGATTGCTCTTTGCTTGGGACCTCCAGTTTAAGAATTTAGTTGTTGAAAGCGATAATGAGTCACTGGTTGGGTGGCTTAAGAAGAAGGGTGATGAGTCTGATGACTGTATTGTTGAAATCTCCACTATAGTTTATGAGAATTGCTTGCTTTGCAAACGTTTCCTTTTCCTTCGTCAAGCGATCGGTAAACAGAGTAGCCCACCATAAAATTGATCTAGAACTGCATGTGCAGTGTCAGATCATGTTAGTAGGTCCCAGTCTCATGGTGAAATATGATGAAGTTGATAAGGTCTTTTTTCTTTGGATTCGACTATGATATAAAAAAAATATGATATCTGAAAAACTTCTGTCCAATTAAGTATTATTTATCAAAATTCATAAATGGATTTTAATTGGTCAAAACTCTTCCCATACCATATCTTTTCCGCATCATAAATTCTCACTTTTTCTTTTTTTTGGATAAACAGAAGTTGATAGGGGTTGGAACGTGTTTATTTAGTAGGAGATCCCAACTCCTCCCAATCAAGCGGATTCATATGACCCGAGCTTGTGGTTAAATCCTTTAAGTTAAACAACTAATAGAGCCCCTTTGTTGTCTATCTTCTCACCAACAAAGTTAAAAGCATCGATAAATACTGATGTGACATGTCCAATGTTAAATTGTTAAACCAAAAAAGAAAATAGAATAACTATTGACAGAACTCTCGATACGCTCAATGTTTTTCCCATCGAGAGTATCAATGCTTTGAACCGTTGCAACTCCCACCTCGTCTCTCTTTCCAAGCTGATAATAAAACCTGAGGAACCTCCAATTGTGGTTTCACGGGATTTGAGATTACTTTTCAATCTCTTCGACCACGAAGGCAGCTTCATCTTTCTTGAATTTCTCAACAATGGAACCATTTCAAGTAGCTTGCTATGGGGGTTCAATGTGACGATTGTCGTATATGTGCAAATAATCCTTTTCGTGTATTGATAATCATTTTGGTCCCACATATCCATTCACCAAAGACCTGAATTCAAAAGCAACTAAACAAGAGGGTTTGAATCACTGTTTTCAAAATTAGACCGGACGGTCAGACCGGAAAAACTAGGAACCGGTCACCTGATCGATTCCGTTTTCTTCCAAAATCACTTTTTCCCTCAAAACTGTTGATTTTGGTCAACAAACTGACCGATTAACCGTTCGAACCGTTTTGATCATTTTCCAATTTTTTAATTTTTTGTCAGAACGGGCCAACAATTCGAGTCTAACGGTCGGACCGTTCGAACCAATAACTGAACCCCTGACCGGTTCGTTTTTAAAAACCATGGTTTGAATCCTTAAATTCACTTTTTTTTTTCCAATCCCATTCTCACATCACAAGGTAGATTCATCATACAGAATCTACGAATCATCTTGAAAACTAAGGCAGAGCTTGGCAAGTCTTTCCATGCAATCTTCTGGGGTTCAGCAAGCTCCGAAGACCAAAAATTAATGGAAAATGCCAAATTTCAAGAAGCTTCAAATGAAATTTTTTTTTGTCTTTTCACATAAATAACTAACCTCTAAACACGTTTTTAAAATCACATTAAACTGAGCCGCTTATCAAACAGTATTTGTCTTTACGCCTCATTCATTTTTCAGTAAGTCATTTGACTAGATAAATGCCCTTATCTAGACAAGTGTTTCTTGAGAAATACTTACCTGAATAATTGCATTTACCTGTTCCCTTTTATTTCCCAGGAGTAGAGTTATATAATGACCACTGTACTTTAGCAATGTTGTCCATAAAATGGTCTTTATTGAAGGAACACTGTTGTTCCATTATATTTTAGCAATTTTCCGCACCGGCATAATAGTTATTTACCTAAGTCTCAATAGGTATTACTTACCTAAGTAAATGAGTCGCTAGGGAATTATTCTTTTGCATAGAACCTACTAATACCAAAGTACTAACATAGGTTTCCTTCTTTTTCATAGAACCTACCAATTTACTTGCCCCCATTTAACAAAAAAACAAACACCCCCTTAAAGACAAGACCCCAAAATCTCAATACATCTTTTGATCATCTGAAATAGTAAAAAGATCTTTCTAAAAAAACAAAGAAATGCTGGAGTCCAAGACAAGTTGCTTTGGATGGGCGTAAACGCCACACTTTGATGAGTGTTTTGGAGTAGAAACCAATCAGTTGCATAAGAAGAAAGTGAGATCTCACTATTAAATGCCTAGTTTCTAGACATCAGTGCTCGTCTAGATTTCAGACAAGCAATCATGCCGACAACCAGTTTTTGGGTTCCAGTTGAAACAAGGGATTTAGGTGAGAGGAAGGGAGGAAATGAGAGAGAGATGGACTGGCCAGTCAACCTGAATTGAAAGAGAGAGAGCTGTACCAATAATGGACAAATGTAGGGATTTCGGTGAGAGAGAGGAAATGAGAGAGAGATGGACTGACCAGTCAACCTGAATTGAGAGAGAGACAAGAGCTGTACAAATAATGGACAAATGTCCTGATTTTACTAGGAATACAGCGCAGTCCACAGCATAGTAGACACAGCAGATTCGGACTCCATTTCCAATTGATCAACCAACTTTTGTATTGAACTTAATAGACAATAGCATCTTGCCAGGCTCGTAGCCACTATGGTACTCTTGCGTCACAACATAATGACCAGCACAGGTATCATTCCCTCTCTAAACTGAAGTGTTATAGATGACTAGCTAAGCTGTCAGCAACCGCGGTATGATGTCAAAAGCGTAAAAAACCTGGGCATTTTCCCTTTCTCACTGCTAAATTACCAGCAGCCGAATAGGACTGTCAATGAACCGGATATTGGTTCAACCCAATCTGGTCTAAGTCTAATATGAGTCCATTACAGATGGACCAGCCCAATCCAGTCCGATAAAATACTTTGGACTATAACCTGGAGTGGTCCAATTCAACATTTCTTATTGGAATGTCCAACCTGTTCAAATTGATTTTAATTCAGATCGGATCCAACCCAAAGCCAGTCCATTGACACCTACTCTGATCTCCTGTCAATCGACTAGAAATTGGATCAACCCAACCCAATCCAATATAAATCATTACAGATGGACCAGGTCCAATCCAATAAATACTTTGGATCATTAAATCTGGACTGGTCAAATTCAATGTCTTATTGGATTGTCCAACCCATTCAAATTGATTTTGATTCGGAAGGGTCCAACCCAAACCCAGTCCATTGACACCCTTACTGCAAATGCTTAAAACAGGCCGCAATATGAAGCATTTGAGATCTATAATGGTGATTTCTTTGAACTATGCATGATCGACAAGGTAGCCTATTACTGGAACTCTCCTGACACCGGTTATTAATCCCAACCCTCGTTCAAAGTTCATGATGTTCCAAAAGATCCTTGACATTGTTGACTTCTAGATGCCTTTCCCTTCCATTCAAAGTGAGACGGTTCAAATAGAATAATGGAACATGTTGGAAAACTTTGTGAAGAAGGAGAATGAAAGATATGACAGTATATTTATCCTCATAATAAACAGGTCTAGACAAACTTTTCCACTATGATCAGGAGAAAATAAAGGGTCTTTTCCCTCTTTTTCAGCCTCTTTCTACCACCCTGATATTCCAGAGATGCAAAAAAGCAACATTACAATACACCATCTCAGAGCAGACAAGAAATGAAGGTTAGATGTTAATCTTACATACCTCAAATAGATGGACTGGTAGTGATCATATCTGAACGTCCCCCAGTCATCCTCTCAGCCTTCTCTCCACGCTCACCTGAAAAGATGCTTACCATCGGATTAGACAATATTCATGATAGAAATAGGGAAATAAGATCCAACTGTAGAACCAGACTCATCTTTTGTGTTATGGGAGGTCGAGGTGGAATACCTGTGCGGACTCTTATCACATCTGAAACAGGTATTACTGCACAAATAATGAATTTTCATTAGTACTTTGGCCCATTACAGATCCATCGAAATCCTCAATTCATGAAAGCTTTAAAAAGCAACTTTTCATTAGAATTGTAGCCAGCTTCAACTATGAACACTAATACATTAACAAATGAGTTCTCATTTTCATTAAAAATAACCTTGTGCAGTAATTGGTGTACATATGGCAACTATTGAAGATATTTGCTAGAGGTAAAATCTTCAAGACCAAAATACAGCAATCACTTTTTCTGTTAAAACTTATGATAACGCTACTTCTGGTTTCAATATAACTCTAAAAGAACATCACAATCAACAAGCATGCACTAGGATCCAAATCAATGAAGTTGGGCACAATAAGATGTTTCCATATAGAGAGCTACAATTTAACCACGTCAAGAAAGAACCAAGTTAAGCATGATAGATTTAACCACAATAAGATGTTCCCTGCAGAAATGCATGATCTGCATTAAAAATCCACTAGTAAATGGACTTCATTTCTAGAACCATTTTTTCTTGTTATTTATTTAAACCAGTAGATTTAAAGAACCTATAAAGTTCAGAGAATAGCGGAATTAGGGATAATTGCTTTTCAAGTACAAAACATGGCCAGTATCATATTTGGCCAGTAAATCCATCCATTACATTTTTCTCTGATAGATAAGGTGGTATTAAAAGTAGTGTTTCACGGACACAAACTAGGGTTAGAATCCAATGCCTGTCTAAGAGTTTGACTCAGTATGATGAGAAAACATGAATTCACACACACATCTATGGAAAAGTATATACTACTAAAATAGTTCGTATTTTTTGAATTCTAACATTTTATACCTCCAAAAAAGGGTCTAAAATGTTGACTTTGCTACCAAGTAACATTTGATAAAAAAAAAATGGCATTTGACTTGTGCCTTAGTTGTTCATTTATGTGAAAATAAGCTGGAAGATAAAAATGAAATGTTACATAGAAGTATCCTCAGGAATCCATGTATTGTCAGGCTCTAACACAGACACATCATCCATTTAGGAGAGTTCACACAACACCAATAAAAAGCTCAGCCAAACCAATCTCAAGAAAGTTGAGAGTTAAATATAATCCAAGACATGCCTACTCAAAAGTTTCTCTGTTTCACACTAGAGAAATGGTTGGGATACTATGTCAGATAACCAGAACCAGATCTGCCAAATTGCAGTTGCCAGCTGCAAGGGGAACACTACACTACCCCCAATAGAGTTTTTTTTTTTTTTTTTTCTAAATTTTATCAGTAGCCAACCATTTTATTAATTCAAATTAATGTACAATTTTATATACACAATAAGAGAGATAAAAAGCTTTTATCTCCCCAACCAAACTACTCTTACAATTGTGCCCAAAAAATGTGCTCTTTCCCCATCCCTTGTTTGGCTAATAGGGGTGAGCATATTTCAGTTGAAACTAAAAAACCGAACCAAAATTTCTGTTTTGGTTTTTTGGTTTGGTTATTTCAGTTAGCTATACATCAGCCATGCTGTTTGCTGTTCTTTGAACCCATTGGAATTTCACTTCAATCTCTTAGTCAGTCAAAAGAACTTTTTAACTCATTCCTATACTGCCAAAGAGCTGCCTCCCAATTTTGTTGTCACTCCATCACCAGTCTTGAGTTTCCCTCAATAATTAGCTTGTTGGCATTCATCATTCTTTGTACCCCTTCCATAGCAGCCATGACCTTCGCCCTTAGAGAATCCCTCACTCTAATCAGTCCCAAGTACAAGGCCACTATAAGCCCTCTCTCATCCCTAAAGATGCCCCCAATTCATAGTTTTCAAGGTACCGAGGCAAGGCTAGGCGATGGCAGGCGCCTAATTGCTTAGGCAGGTACCTAGGCAATGGGGTTTTTTGGAACAAAAACCATGAGTCCTAAGGTAAACTACCTAGGTTCCATGGCAAGCAACAACCATCTTTCACTATCATTTGTTTATAGGAAATGGTAACTTTCATTAATTTTTAGAAATATAGAATTACAGCTGCCACCTTCCAAAAATGTGACCCCTCATGACATAATTAAATTATAAGCATGCCCAAAATAAAGTCTCCCTATTAACCCCTTGCTTTGCTAAAACATCAACCAACCCATTTTCTGTTCTACTAACCCAGTTAAATTGTGCTCCTAACTCCCTTGTCAAATTCATTATTTCCCTCATATGCTGTCTAAGGGGCCAAGCGCCCAAATTCCTTGTTTGCATGCATCCTATGACCAATCTTTCATTATCAATTGTCTATAGTGTTCACAAAAATGTATAAACTTCATCTTAAAAAAATCAACATATTCATGGAAAAAATGGAAGAAATAAAAGAAATTTCAGAAAAAAGAGGGACTGAGACTCTATTTTTGTTCTATGAAAAAGAAGAATGTTTTCTTGGTAAAGAGGCGGTACGATCTCAGAATAATGAGAGGAGAAGAGGGAGAAGAGAGAAGAGAGAAAGGAAAAAAGGAGATTGGAGAGAAAAAGGTCAGCTGGCAGCGCCAGCCTTTTTAATATTTATACTAGGGTGACCATTCAAAAGATAAAAATAAGTACAATTACATATGTGCCCTTGCAGCACTAAACTGAAATAAAACTAAGTTATTCAACACTCCCCCTCAAGTTGGGACATAGATGTCAATCATGCCCAACTTGTCACATAAGTCATCGTGCCGCGAGTGATGCAAACCTTTTGTAAATATATCTGCAAGTTGCTCCTTAGAACTAACATATGGGGTGCACACTTCCCCATTAACAATTTTCTCTCTAATAAAGTGTTTGTCAACCTCTATATGTTTAGTTCTACCATGAAGAACTGGGTTGGCTGCAATATTGATGGCAGCCTTGTTATCACAATACAAGGGCATAGGGCTATCAACAGGAAAACCCAATTCGCTCAACAAATTCTTTATCCACATAGCTTCAGCCACCCCATGGGACATTGCTCTATACTCAGCTTCAGCACTAGACCTAGCCACCACATTTTGTTTCTTGCTTCTCCATGTGACTAGATTTACTCCCACAAAGGAACAATACCCACTAGTCGATTTTTTGTCATCAACTGATCCAGCCCAATCAGCATCTATATACACTTCAATCTTCAAGTGGCCATTCTTTTGGAATAATAAACCAGCTCCTGAAAACTTCTTTAGATATCTAAGGATTCTCTTTGCTGCCTCTAAGTGTGTGTGGTCTTAGGAGCATGCATGAACTGACTAAGAACACCCACTGCATAAGCAATGCCTGGCCTGGTCATGGACAAATACAGGAGACTCCCACAAGTCTCTGGAATTGTTTTACATCCTTGACAACTTCGCCACAACAGTCACCCAATCTGTGATTTGGATCAATGGGAGAGTCAGTTGGCTTAACCCCTAATTTTCCTGAATCCTGTAACAGATCTATGATGTATTTCCTTTGAGAAATGGAGATCCCCTTTTTTGAGCGGGCCACTTCAATTCCAAGGAAATACCAAAAGGGACCTAGATCCTTCACCTCAAATTGAGTGGCTAAGAAACCCTTTAGCCTCTAAATTTCAACCTTCCAGTCACCTGTGACCACTATGTCATCAACATACACTATCAAGGCTACAATCTTTCCTTCCCCCCTTTTCACAAATAGAGTATGGTCAGCCTAACACGGTTTGTAGCCAATCTGTTGTATAGCAAGATGAAACTTGCTGAACCAAGCTCTTGGTGATTGTTTTAGACCATACAAAGACTTCTTTAGCTGGCACACTTTCTACTCTTTGCCTAGGGCACTAAAGCCAGATGAAACTTACCGAACCAAGCTCTTGGTGACTGTTTAAGACCATACAAAGACTTCTTTAGCCGGTACACTTTCTGCTCTTTGCCTAGGGCACTAAAGCCAGGAGGTTGTACCATGTACACCTCTTCCTCAAGGTCTCCATTCAGGAAGGCATTTTTAATGTCTAGTTGATGAAGATCCCAATCAAGATTTGCCATTGTAGAAGAACTGAAGGGTAGTTTTGTAATTCTACTATATTTTATTATTCTTTCTTGTATTGTATTAGGTGTGTACTTTAGTGTACAACTCTTTTATTCTCTTTGTAAGGACAATCTTGTCCATTTACCTAAGATTAATATAAATATATCCTTTCTGGGTTGGTTCAATCTAATTGACATGGTATCAGAGCAGGCTGCTCTCTAATTCTTATCTCTTCCTTTTTGATCAGTTTGAGAACTTTAATCATTGCTGATCGACTCTGGATTGTTTCGATCTCTCCACCTGTTCTCTGTGTTTTGCGCATCTAGGGAGAGAGATTTCATTAGATCTCTCTCGTATGACATCAATTTGCAGTATGAATTGAAAGGAAGTATCGCCTAAGCCCTCTCATCATACTTTGAATTTTTTCATCGAGATCCGAGAAGTTTTGAGAGAGATCCATACATCTTTTCTGGGCGGCTGCATCCAGACTTTCCTTTTCTGGATTGTGTATCAAGTTTTCTCCATTTGTTAGAACTTGGACAATTTCTGGTGATTGTAAGAGGTTTCTATTATCAGTTTCTTTGACTCTCATAGTTTGGTTACTACTTTATTGCTTGATTCGATGAGTCTTTACTTTGTTTCCTTTTCATTATGGCTCTGGAAAAGAATGAATTTATTTTTGTTAAGTTCGATAGGAGCAACTATGCTCTATGGAAGTTTCATTTTCAGTATTTTGTTAAAGGGAAAGGCATGTGGGGTTATATTGACGGTTCCACTTCCATGCCTGACGCCAGTGATGTCAAAGGGCTGAAACAGTGGAGAACTGAGAATGCTCAATGAAGAAAACAGACCTTGAGAGTTCGACAATGAGGGTTTAGAGAATGAGAGTTTCGAACATTACTCTCTCTCTAACACCCTAACACTATTTTATTAAGATAAACTTAAAATAATTACAAGGAGGCCCTTAGTTGGGCAAGAATTTACACAGAACATAACATAGAAAGGATGGGCCCAGAGTAAGGCCCATTACAGACAAGAACATAAAC